GTGCTGGTCACCATCATCTTCATCTACGAGAAGCGGCGGAAGCCAGATGAGCCTCTGGACGGTGAGTGGCTGGGTGGGGCTTGGGGGTGGGGGACAGCTGGGGTCTGTACCCATGGGCTCACCACCCTCTCTCCTCCCTCTTGGCTGCAAGCTGGTGTCCTCCACGGTAAGGGGCGCCCTCTGCAGCCCTGGTAGCAGCAGCATGGCGAGGCTGGCTCTCCAGCCTGTGGGCTGCGTGCATGCAGCTGGCATGGCCTGTGCCTGGCCACTGCCTGAAGGTGGGTGGGGGCGTGCTGTTTCCCTGCACGCGCTCCTTCCCACGGTCCCTGTGGGCGCCAGGCCTGCCTGACACCTCCTTCTCCCCTCCACAGATGACGACGCAGGGTCCGTGCCTCTGTAAGTCCTGGCCCTTGGGGTGTGGGGGGGTCTCCTCTGTCCTCGCCCACCACGTGGTCAGTGCCAGGCTCCGGCACCACCATGTGCTGAGGCCCTGCCCTGTGTCCTCTCTCAGGAAGGGCAACGCACCCCATGTGAATGACAAAGGCAAGAATGTCCGCCAGAGGAACGCCACCTGAGCGGCACAGTGGCCCAGGTCCCGTCCCCATCGCCCACCAGAGTCCGTCCCCTGCCGACAAAGCGCCAGACCTGCTCGCCTCAGAAAACCCATGCAGCAACAGCAAACCCACTGTAGATCTCCATATTGGATCTTTTTAGCTTTAATTAACTAGGGTTTTCTACATACAGAATTTTGTTCCTTAGGTTTTGTTTTTCTCCTTTTTAATGTTTTCTCCATCATGAATGCCAGAGAGTTGGTGCATCCCAAAGAGGTGCCTCAAGCCCCCTGGGTCCCTGGCCACTTGTAGATTGGGAGGATGTGCATCCTGTACCATCAGCCTGTCTGAAGCCTGCCCTGTCTCTTGTGCCCTGTGCTTTCACTTGTCTTTCCTGAAGGTCAAAGTCTGTGACCTCTTGGTGGAGCGAACTCCATTTCTCTCCTGATGTCTGGTGCCCAGGGTCTGGGACTCCAGAGCTACCTGCTGTGCTAGGGACAGCAGCACCCTCTCCAGTGTTGGACACACAGGGATCCCTCCTGTCCCACCCCTGCACAATAAAGACTGAGCCCACCTGGTCTGGTGTCTGCCCTGGGCTGTGACGGCAGTGGCAGGGCTGTGGGGTGATGTCCCAACCTCGTTTTGAGCCAAGCTGGTCTGGGTGACCTGGGAGGGTGAGGGCAGGGGTCACAGGCGAGGCAGGAACAGCTGGAAGCCAGGTCAGAAACTCAGGACCTTCAGGGTCTAGGAGCTGCTTGTTGCCTCTCTGAACCTGCTTTGATCTGTGCACTCCAGGGAGGTTGGAGGCCTAGGAGTTGAGCAGCCAGAAGCCTGGCTGTGTCACGGGCCCCTCTTGGCCTGCCAGGGACTAGCAGGAGCCATGTATGTGACAGGTGCCAGAACAGGCTGTGCCCAGAAACCACTAAAAGGCAGTGCTGGGATAGAGCAGGCAGCCCTGGGCCCAAGAGGGTGTGTACAGCCTAGGATGGGTCCCTTAGGTGGAGGTCACCATGGAAGTAGGTCCTGGGGGAATTGGACAGCCGTGGGCCTCTGCAGACCCAATAAGGCTCTTTCCTGGTTACGGCAGAATGCTGGACTGTCAGCCGGCTTGGCCAGGGGGTTGGTGTCTGGGCGGCAGGAAGGTGGGTCCTGAGAGGTCCCTAGGCAACAACCAGCTACCAGCTCGGCAGGAGAGGATCAAGCAGAGTGAGCCCTTCCACACTGGGACTGAGCATTGGGCAGTGAGTGATGCTGAGCTACGTCCTCAGTTCGCTTGCTTTCTCACTTTCTCCCTTGCTACCCCTTCCCATGCTCTCCCCCCACCCCCCTCCTCCCTCCCTCTTGCCAAGTTTCCACAGTTCAACTCAACTTGTGAACCTCCTGGCAGCCTCCCAGGGTTCTGGGATCACCTGCGTGTGTCACCATACCTGTCTGGAAATTTGCATTTTCAATGAGTGGGGCAATCCAGCATTTTTATGCAAAACAAGCCAAAGAGACCCTCATCTGGCCTAGGGCCACAGCCCTGGAAGTTAACACCCACCACCACCACATCTCCAGTTCCCCTTACAATGCAGCGGGGTAGGGCCAGGCCCTGTCCTATCCTCGGCTGCCACTAGAGGGTGCTGTGTACTCATTACAAGGGTGTCCCTCCAAGGGTTGAGTTGGGGGCTCTCAAGGACACCAAGCCCAGCCTCTGGGTACATCTGCCTGTTCTCTGGAGCCCTGCAGCTGGATACGGTCCCCACCCACCTCTCTGTGACCTTGTGTGGGTAAAATGGCACCACACATAAACCTCAGTGACCTTTGTGTCTTTCCAGACATTGATGGGGCTCCTGTGGTATACCTGGGTGGGCACCCAGGAGGAGAGGCCACCAGCTCGGAGGCCCATGGGGCAGACTGCTTTCTGGAGAGTGGGGATGTCCCCCACTTCTGCTTGGGGGGGTCATCTCACCCATCTACTTCCTGCTGTATTCCCTGCACATGGGTGGGTACTGCGGGCCGGGGAGCCAGGGGGCCACCTGGATCCACCATCCTGAGGGAATGAGGGGCTTCCAGGGGCAGCCAAGCCCCAAGGGGCTGAGTCCCCCCACGGAGAAAGGGTGCACCAAGAGGGTTCGCCAGTCCTCTGCACAGGTACGTAGCCTGTGAGCAGAACCCCCTCCACAGTTCGTGCACCCTCCTAGCTCCCAACGTCCAAACATGCATGCGCCTGTAGTGTGCAGCCCTCCCCTGACCTGGGTGCCCGCAGCTTGCTGATCTGCCTCGGTTTCCCCTTGTGTGAGATGGGAAACAGCATTAGATGAGGTTGTCTCTGTCAGGCTTGTGACACTCAGGAAATGGCCACCAGGAGTCTCTGGGAACCATGGGAGTCAGGAGTCTCAGTTCCTAGTGGGCAGAGGGGCAAGGCCAGGACAGCCTTTGAAAGAACAAGGCCTCATTCATGGGGCCAACTCCATGCGGGCCTAACAGCTGGCTGCTGGCTTCTGCCTTGACCCTGCCTTGTCCTCCCCGTCCTGGGGATGGGGGCACCAAGGCTAGGAAAAGGACAACGACCTGCCCAAGGTCCCACAAGGGGCCACAGAGAACACAGCTGAGGGCCAGATGGGAGGGATTTCCAGGCATTGGCAGCCTGTCTCTACCCACCAGGGTCCTGGGAAGAGAACTGTGCTGACCTCAAATCAACAGTAGCAGAGCCACTCTCCCCACTGTTCCGGAGAAACAGGCCCAGGAGGGGCATGACAGCCTGCTTCATCTGTCACCTGCCATTCAGGCAGTGGCCCACAGTGACACGTGCGTGTGGCCGAGAGATGAGTCACACCCTCTCCCACACCTCCGTTTCCTTGACGGTAACCTGGGGTCCCAGTCCTGCTTGGGCCAGCTGCCCAGATGTTTGTTGGGTGCCCCCATGGGCCTCCCAGCTGGCCTAGTCCTGTCTTACAGGGCCTTTCAGGACCCCACATCCTAAAAGCTTCCACCTGGCTTCTGACCTGGATCTGCTCTGAGGTCGAGATTGGGAAGGGTGGGGCGGGGCTTCAGGGTGGCCAGGAGGTCAAGGTCTATGGAGAGCACGTCTGACCCCAGAATCTAGAGGGGCACGCCAGGGCCAGAGATGGGCAGAGTGTTGGGGTCTCTTGCATAGGTGATGGAAACCATCAGACCAGCATTCAAAACTCTCTGGTCGTCACCCTCATCTCCCGCCCCTGCACCCTAGGTCTTGGCGGTCCTCGCACAACCTGGTACCATGGAGGCTCAGGGACTGCTCCGTCGTGGTGAATACCTTCCTCACCCCTCTGTTGTCGTGAGTTTCTACACAGTGATTCCCAGCTCTAGCGGACAGCACAATTTTTGAGCTGTCGTGTTGTGTTTTTTGTTCATCTCCTCTGCCTGGCTATCAGCCCTATTCTGAATCCCTGGCCCCTGGGTCAGGCACTTACTGAAGAACAGCCAACTAAATGGTGTGTTTTGTTGTTTTGTTTTGTTTGTATCGGGGATCGAACTCGGGCCCTTGTACTTGCAAGGCAAGCAGCAGAACCAGTGAGCTAAATCCCCGGCCCTAACGGCCAACTAAATGGATAAATACAGAGCAGGTGGTCAGCAGGTATGGAGAGTCCTGGAGGCTCAAGTGGCCCTGAGCTCACCCATGAAACCCTGGCTCAGGTTAGAAACCATGGGAACAGGAGAGCACCCTGGACCCTGAGGCTCAAAAATGGGGCAGGCCTCCAAGTCCCAGCATCCTTTGTGACCAGAGGGCTAAGGGAGCTGCTGTCCCTCTGCCAGACCGGGTGGGTCCCCTGGAGGCCTGGCCTGCCTCCTCCCTGAGCTCTGGCGACCTGCCCAGCCTGACATCTTCCCAGGGTGAACATAAAATGTTCCCCTTCAGCTGTAACACACATCTGCCCCGGGGCGGGCTGCAGCCTGGCACTGCCAACTCTGCTGTCCGCCTGCTTAGGGGGAGGTGGCTGCTGGGGGGGCACGAGTCTCAGGAGTCCCCAGAGTTAGGGTAGCCTCAGCAGGGGTGAGCCATGGGGCTCTGCCCATCCTCTGTCATATGACACACAGCAGGGCAAGGCCCACCCCTGTCAATACCAAGTACTTGCTGTGTGTAATGACAGTCACGTCTCCACCCTCCTGGCCCTGATGGCTCAGTGGGCGGAGGGCATCTAACAAGATCTGAATCACTGCCCATGCAATGTCAGGCGAGTGGATCTGGGGCCTCGGAGGGTCTGAGGAGGACCCAGGGGGTTGCAGGAGGTCCCAGGGTAGTCCAGGAGAACTTTAGGAGGGTCCAAGAATGACCCGGGGGTTCAGGAGACCCCAGGACAATCCAAGAGAACTCAGAAGGTTCATGAAGGCCAGGAAGTGCCCAGGAGAGGCCAGAGTGGGGAGTTGCCACCTTCAGAGCTCCCCTTCTGTGTGCCTCTGCTCCTTCCCTGCCTCCCTATGACACCATCCTCCCCTCTGATGGAACTGGGGGCGAGGGGGCACCAATCTGTAGCCAGCCCAGTCTGGCTGTGCCCTCAGATGCTCCCGTGGTGGGAGCAGCTGAGACTGAGCCAAGGGGGCAGAGAAGCATCGGCGCCCTGGGCTCCCTCAAGACCTCTAAAGCCCACCAGACTCAGAAGCACCCTGTGGAGGTAGGGGACGCCGGCAGCAGCCTGGGGGGGCCCTTCCTACTGTTCCCATGTTGCAGGGCTCTGACTCAATTCCCTCACACGCACACTGAGCGAGCGGTGGAGCGTGGGACCCCCACCTGCCCGGCAGCCCCCTGCACACATTCCAGCGTTTTTGAGCGGGGCAGGCCAGTGATCAAGCTAGGGCTCTGGGGGGCCCCACAAGCACCCTTTTATTTCAGTGCTTGAGCACCGGAGACAGGAAGGAGGGGAGGGGGCGGACGCGGCCCGGTTGAACCCTTGGGACGCGACTGAGCTCTAGGCGCGGCTCACAGAGGCCCTGGCCCTCACGGCCCGCTCCGTGACCTTGGCCGCGTCCTTCCCGCCTCGTGAGACTCAGTTTCCCCTCTGGGGCGAGGCCTGCTCGCGCCCGCAAG